AGATTGGTATAGGCAAACTTGAATAAGGGGGAAAGTAAAACCACTTTTATAATTAAAATTTACAAATTTTTTATGATAAAACTTTTTTTTTTCTGAAAGAGAGAGAGAGAGAGAGACAGCGTGAGCAGGAGAGGGTCAGAGAGAGAGAGAGATACAGAATCCGAAGCAGGCTTCAGGCTCTGAGCTAGCTGTCAGCACAGAGCCCGACACGGGACTCGAGCCCACCAACTGTGAGATCATGACCTGAGCCGAAGTCGGATACTCAACCGACTGAGCCACTCAGGCGCCTCTATAATAAAACTTTAAAATTCATTAAAATGCCATTATATATAGCTAAGGCCTTACCTACATTAGATATGCCTTTAAATCATTGAAGGACTTAGGTAGTATGAAATGTCTATGATCTTTGGTAACCTAGGATAGTACTATAAGTTTTACTTGGGAATGAATTTTAAGTGTAAGGTATCACAAAGTTGCCACCATTGGTAGATTAATATGTATGCTAATCGTTTAAAGAATACAAAACAATATATTTTTTCTTGATTTTGCCTAATAGTGAAAAGACTGCTATCAAATTGTAGCATTTTTATATAATGACAGGGTGTTCCCTATCTCTCTCTCTCTCGCTTGCTCTCTCATTTATGATCTGGTTGAAAACTTGGTTAGAGGGGCACCTGAGTGGCTCAGTCAGTTAAGTGTCCTACTCTTGATCTTGGCTCAGGTCATGATCTCACAGTTCCTGAGCTCAAGCCTGTCATAGGGCCCTGTGCTGACAGCGTGGGCCTGCTTGGAATTCTCTCTCCCTCTTTTTCTGCCCCTACCCTCCATGTTCTATATCTCTCTCAAAATACATAATTAAACTTTACAAAAAAAAAATAGGAAGAAAGAAAGAAAAGTTTGTGAAACTTCTAGATCCCTATTAGGACGAGATGCTGATAGTGATGTTGGGAGAAGTACGCTTTGTCATTGTGCTTTGCAAACATTTAGGGAGTTTATCTGAAATTTTCTAGAGCCCCTGTTGAGTAATACTGGAAACAATTTTGCTTTACTCATTTAAGAGATATAATATAGTCTCTCTCTCCCAGGAACTAAGTTTACAGACAAGTAATTATATTACTATGGAAGATTACATTATCATCAGTAAATATGTACTCTTCAATATCACCACTCCATTGACTTGCTTTGGACACTAAAGTGTGGATGAAATAAAAATATTCTATTTTTTGCACCTAGAAGTTAAGAAGCATTACATGTTTCTGCTTTTTCTTCTGGGAACTTCTAACCTCTGCTGTGAGAGGAACATGCCCCAGGTAGCTGCTGACCCTGCTTCCTGGGCCCATGATGAGATCATGAGCAGAGCTGAACTCATTCTAGGGTTAAGTCACTACCTGAAACCTTTAGAAAAGCCATCCATCTGAGCCCAGTCTAGATAGACTGGACTGTAGTCAGCCATGCTGACCATGAGCATGAGAACACTTGCTTACTACTCACAGCCACTAAGATTTGGTCTAGTTTGTTATCTAATGGTATTTTGAAAATACCCAACTAGTATAGTTACTCATATAGAATATCATATAGTGACAACTTGTGTTGTCAGTACATACATGGCACAAAAATCTGGTGTCTTCTGGCTGGAATTTGGTAATAGAATAAGTAGGAATTACAAGTGTGGATTTGGGAATAAGAGTAAGCCAGGTTTCTACACTGCCAACTGTTAACTGTCTGACTCTAGGCAAAATACTTATTTTCTCTGAACTTGAGTTTCTCATCCATACAATGTGAATTAAATAAGATAATGCAGATGAAGCACTGAACACAGTGTCTGCTACACAGTAAATGGAGCATGTATCAAAGCCCTCATCACAAGTGTCACTACTGCACTATCAAATCAGCATATAATGGATCAGCACACAGTTCTGTAAAGCTAGAGCAAGCCTGTCTCTGAATTTTATTATTAGTTCAAGGTGCCTATTCTTGGTCCTTTCTAAAGTCTCATGCTTTTCCCAAGATTTTTGTGAATTCCTGTGCAGCTTATTTTCATTCCCATTTCTGCTCTGAATTCCTGCCTCCACTGGGCTCTGAGTCTCACTTATGTTTTATAATAAAACTGATTGTCTTCTTTCTCTGCCTCATGCTAATTCAGCCATGAAATTCCCCTCCTTTCCTCTTGACTTCCATGACAAAAGCACTAAGAAATGTCTGTGTGGAGCAGAATTTATGGAAGGTTAGGGTCAGAGAGAGGTAGTTTACCTCAAAGAAAATGAGCGATTTATATCTGATTTTCACCATAACTCTATTCTTCAAAGCCTTCTGGCTTCCCTAGTACATGAACTTTCCACTGTCAACTTGTCTGTCACCTTAAGAGTCCAACGTCCTGCTCTGTTGCCCATCCCTTTCCTCTCTTTTCCCTCTTTCCTCCACTCTCAGCTTTCCCCCAATTGCTGTTATTTTCTCAGAAAGAACTGTTTCTATATCTCTGTTTTCTGATCATCCCATTTGTTTACCAAGTAGTCATGCAATGTATTTTCATGTAACATTTTCCCTAGTGTTAAATGTTAAAATAATGCTTTATAAATAGTGGTAGGTATCGCCATCATTTATGCAATGTCATGTTAAAAAGATGGCATGACTTCTAACCAAAGCAAGATATAATTGAAGTTATTGACTTACCTAGAGAAATGATGTGACCATCAGAGCACTTTGGCAGATTTGCCACCAAAGTATAAAAAATGACAGACTCCAGAAGAAAGCATTGTAAGTGTGTCCAAACATTGGAAGATAGTCCGGATGCTACTTAGGGAAAAGAAGAATCCATCCCAGAGCTTTAAGTATGTTTATGTATTCACCCATCCATTCATTTATTTGTAGTTTCCCTCAAATGATGAAATTGCAACTCTGTCTTAGCTACAACTGGTTATCTTTTATATGATTTGAAATCTCAAAGTGTGGTTACTTCTGACTCGGAGACAGATTTTCAGACTTAATACTGTGTCATCCAAAAGCTATGCTTGCTTAACAAGAATTTTATGTTCTGCAAAATTATGACATTTGAGGAAGGTAGGAGAGAAAAGAAACTATGTAATAAAACAAACCCTAGTATTTTCTTGAGGAATTCTATATAAAACACTGTCATTCCTGAAGAGCATTTTTATCTTTGTTTGATTTTTCCATTATAGTCCTAACCTGTCATATATGATAGCAGTAACTTTCATAATGGCCTACATTCAACAAATGTGAAAGTTTTTTCAGTGATAGTAACACAGTGTGTGTTTTCACTGTTACTGTTCTTTGTGTCAGTAATCATTCATCTCAAGAATTTGAAGTTTGGGCTGTGTGCAAGGACACAGGACTCTGTCCTGTGCCCTTGAGCTTACACAAACTTCTCAACTATGATTAGAAAAATACAAATCCAAATGTGTATGTGTTTATTCAGTCATTGCATGTTTGATGAACACTTTGTGCCAAGCACTCTGCCAGGCACTGGAGATAGAAAGATGAGTAACACCATCTCATCTCATGGTGCCTGGAAGTCTAGACTAAGGAAGGAGGCAGACCTGTACACAGTCAATCAAAATGTGTGATAAGTGCTCAAAGAGAGGAGCCCAGGAAGCTCAGAAGGCATGAAAGAGAATCAGCCTGCTCTGACTTTATTGGAAGAGTATAGGAAGAAGAGGTTATGGCCAAGGGAAACTCCAGAGAGGAGATGGATGAAGTTTGAGCTGAACTTCTGGGATGACTGAGGATTTTCCAGGTGGCTGAGCTACATACACTCAGCCATATGTGAAGCACAGAGAAATGGGCGAGTGTGGCATCTTCAGTGTTCCGTGGCTGGAGTGAAGGAAAGGAAAAAGATGCAGTGTGAGGCTGAGAAGGCATTGTAGACTCCCCACTGATTTTGCTGTGAATGAACAACTATAGAAGGATCTTAAGAGAAGAAAGGGAGTGACCTGATTCAATTTGTGGTTTTGAAAGGGCAATCTGAAGGCCAAGTAAGGGCACAACCACTCGCACCCAGACGTCTCCCACTTCTTTGCAGGTTGTGTAACTCTCTGATGCTGTTCCCAGCTTGTCTGGAAAATTGTCAAACTCTGCTTCAGACCAAGCAGTATCCACCGATTAAACCTTGCCAACAGTCTTTGGAAGTTGAGAGACTCCTGATGGTAGAGTGACACAACTGGCCCACAGCAGAGAGACCCCTTTTTAGTGCCCAGGCCTTGGGCTTTGATACGAGCAGGAGTGGTTTCATCATTTCCTTTAGGAGTGACCTCAGGGTTTTTTAATGTCTTGTGGAATTGGCTCTCTTTCTTGAACATTCCCAGCCCTGCTTTGACATTCCCATGTCCTGCAGAATGCTTCTTATATATACCTTTAGAGGAATTGCTGTTGCTATCCTCATTAATTCACTCCTGACACCTCTTTCTGGAGGCCAGAGGTGTGACTGTGCTGTTGGAAGCAATATCCACATTTCTTTCCTAAAGCTTCAACACTTTATGTAAAGGTACCCATTCTGGATCCAGAACTTGTGCAGGAAGGAGGGAGTAGAGTTCAGTATACTGGTGCCTTTCAATGGATGTTAAATAACATAAAGCATCGTGAAAGAGGGGCTTAAATCCTGAAAGGAGACATTGTGAACTAACCTTTTCTTCCCTGGGATTTTGATCCCAGGACAATTAAAAGGTATAGAGTATCCTTTTCCTCAAAATAAAGTAAAAGAAATAACACTTCTTAAAAAATCAAATTACATTTTGTTTTCAAGTTTTAACAGAAAACTTGAGGCTGTATTTTCCACGATCTTTCTAGTAGGCACACACATGTTGGCCACTATGTCTCCACAGATTTCAGTGGGCAAGTGCATGAGGAGGCACTTTTTCCACCTCACTGATGATTTTTGCAGTGACCAAACTTTATAAAAATACTTTTTAAAAATCTTCATGAGTCAATCGTCCAGTGCACTTGAAAATAACTCGGTTTTCTACCACTTCCCTTCCTCTCCTTATCAGAGAAGCATTTGCAACCAGGCGTCCTGTGAACGTGACTAAATCGTATCATAGAATCACTGAGAATATCCTCACTATAAAGTAATCACCAGTGTCCCTGGAGCCCTCACGTTGGTGTCAGCATCTCCACCCAGGATCCTCCGTCAGTCCTGCCTCATAGCACGATCCAGCAGCCTCTCTTTATGAAGCGAAGTGAGATTCAGTCCTTATTTTATTCCATTTAATTAAAGAACAGCCGAAAAAATCGTGTCTTGCATTTTCAACACATGGTTCCAATTAGCACAGCGGAGCAGGACCCTGAATTTGATAAAAGCACTGACGTGTACCTTTGGTGCCTGTACAATGTAGTCTTTCATTTTACAAGGTGGCTGAAGTGCAGTTTTAAATATCTTTTTTAAATGTTAACAAAAACCCAGGGGTGTAAGCTTGGGAAAATGAGAAGTGAACACAGTTTTGTTTGAATTGCCTGCTGTAGACTTTTCGAACCTTATATTCAGAGGATGCTTATGTGGGAAAATCTGCAGTGGGCATTTACAGGCTTATATGCAAAAAGCATTATGGTTCATCAGACTTACACTCAGAGGCTATTAGATGGGAGATCCATCACCTCAGGAAATACCACTTACTGTACTGTAAATTCGCTTCATGTGACCAATCTGCTCAAGAGGTAATGGAAATCCCATTCCAATAAATTTGTTTCAGACCAGGCTAAAACTGATAGGACATTTGCCTTCAGTGGGACCCTTTCTGGGTAACTTCTGGAAGTTCATATGTTTTTAAAGAGGAACATAAAACTTAGGTCCCAGAATCTGGAAATTAGATGTGGAAAAGCCTAATTTAGGTCATCACATCCCACCTCCTGCCAAAATAAAGGAAACTAGTAAGAGGAAAAAGTAAGATAAAACAAGTAAAATATTTTATGACTGCTTCACATGGTGTGTGTTCTATGCCGTCCCAGAAACAGTGGAATGATTTTCCATTTCAGGTCATGGGAAAGCATGATGCCTTTAGTCCCAGAAGGGTGAGATACTTAAGCTGTTATAAGGCCCTGTGTGAAGGTTAACAACAAACCTCTTTGTGCCTGGCTTTTATTTTCAGAGCTACCACTCCATTCTTGGCCCATAATTCACAAACTAGAGAAATGTGCCCATCAAGAACAAACTCACTACCAATTGCATTCAGAAATTTTAGCCCAAAGTGCCAAGGTAAGAACAAAAATCTACATAGAGTAAAGCTAAGTAAATGAATTTCTTATAACTGCAATTTAAGAAAAATAGTCATTGAGATGGGCTTTCTGATGGCTTCATTGCTGGAGAATGTATCAGCAGATTTACTTTGTGTCTTCCCTCCATTCTCAGAACTATAAAACAACTTTCCACTTTTTTAGAAGGAGCTCCAAAATGTACCTGAATGAAACCCCATAGACAGGCCATTCCTCAGCTTATGCCCTCTACTGCCATTTGCTCTATGTCTTCACCCCGTGACTGAGAGGGAACTAACTGTGGCATCTGTGATTATTTATTTTTAATAGGCTCACTAATTATCACCATGAGTTAACTTACTAATACATAGATGATTATTCTACATTACGAATGAGCCATTATAGATTTAGAATGTCTCTAAATCTTCAAATCACAGACTTAACTAAACTGTGCTATAGGAACATTTCCCATTCTTTCTTGAAACCCACTCCAATAACCATCATGTCTACCACTCCACCAAAGAGTTCTTTTCAAGGTCAGAAAGGATCTTCATGTTGCTAAAGTCATTGGTCATTTCTAGCCTCATCTTAGTCACACTGAAACACTGATAACTTAAGTCACACTTGGTCTCTGATTCATTGTTCTCTCTTGGTTTTCTTCCTATTCCACTGGCTATTCCTTCTTTATGCCTTTTTTGCTTACTCCTATTTTCTCAGTCTCTATAGAGGGATCAGTACTCAGACCTCTTTTCTTTACATTATTGGCTAAATGGTCTCATTTAGTCCATGGCTTTAAGTAACTTTACATGGTGAAAAATAGCAACTGCCTCCTGGCCTCTCTTCTTGGATGTACAAATGACATGGTAACTCTAACATCAAATTCTTTATTTTCTCCTCAAACATACTTCTTTAGCAGCCTTTTCCATTTCATAAGTAACAACTCTATTCAACCAGTTGCGCAGACAAAATCTTTTAGAGACATCCTTGAATCATTTATTTCTCTCCAATCTCCAATTTTAATCTATAATCTTTAATCTATATGTTCCAGTTATAAGGTGCCAGTGATCTTCCCCCAGCTCTATTTCTTTGGCTTTTCCTCCGACCCTTCACTTACTTGCTCTATCTCTATTCCAGCCACAGTCAGGTCATCATTGTGCCTTGAACATGCTGTTCCTCTGGCTGTAATGCTCTTCCCTTCAGATTAGCTAGAGTCACCTCCTTACTTTCTTCATGTTTCTACTCAGATTCCACGTTATTGAGGGAGCCTTTCCTGAGCATCCTATGTAAAATAGCACCTTTCTAGTTCTACCTGCCACACCACTGTTTCTCTTGCTGTCATTATTTTCCACATCACTTTTCAGACCTCGCTTATTATATAATGTGTTCATTTGTTTGTTGTCTGTCTCCTCTGGGCAGACTACAAACACCATTAGAAGAGGGACTTAGTTTATTTTGTACTCCCCTGTAATCTCCTTTGCCTAGAGTGATGCCGTATGCACAGTAGATCCTTAATAGATTTTTCTGAGTTAATGGTTTAAATTTTTATCATGGTAACTACAAGAGCAATAAGGCGTGGGAAATTTTGTCAGTTGGGCTCACTGACATGTTACTGGAACAAACCCTTTACTGAATCTGACATGAAAGGTTGGCCTAAATTATATCAGACTCTCTTAGCATTTATAGTGTTCAAGTTTACATTTCTATGTACATATCATATGTCCAAGTCCCAACAATGTTAAGGCTTGAAATGAGATCATATTAACTTTACTATTTTTTCTGAGTTTTATTTTTGACCAAATTTGTATATATTTAAGGTGTACAGCATAATGTGGTTTTTGACAATACAGTGTTTTTATGTTTATGTATATACTGTGAAATGATTACCACAGTCAAAGTAATGAACTCATTTATTACCTCTCATAGTTACAATTGTGAGTGGGGGGGGGTGAGGACATTGAAGATCTACTCTCTCAGCAAATTTCAGGTTTACAAAACATTACTGATAATTATAGTCCCCATGCTGTACGTTAGATCTCTAGAACCTATTCATCTTGTAATTGAAAGTTTGTAACCTTTGATCAATATCTCCCCTTTTCCTCCATCCCTCTGCCTCTGATAACCATTATCCCACCCTATGTTACTTTAAGTATGACTTTTTTTTTTTTTTTAAGATTGAACATTTAATTGAAGTCATATGATATTGATCTGTCTGTGTCTGGCTTATTTTACTTAACATAATGTCCTCCAGTTTCATACGTATTATTGCATATGGCAGGATTTCCTTCTTTTTAAAGGCTGAATAATAGTCCATAGTATATATAAACATATGTATATATACATGCCCCATTTTGTTATTCATTCAACCCATTTCCATATCTTGGCTGCTATGAATAAAAATGCTGCATTGAACTAATTTTTGACAAAGACACCAAGAGTACTGCATAGGGAAAGGATAGTAGTCTCTTCAATAAATGGTCTTACAAAAACTGGATTGCCACATGCAAAAGAATGGAATAGGATCCTTTGTCTTACACCATACATAAAAATCAACTCAAATTGAATTAAAGACTTAAATGGAAGCCCTAACACCTTAAAACTCCTAGAAGAAAACGTAAGGGGTCAGCTCCTTGACACTGGCCTTGGAAATGATTTTTTGGAAGTGACACCAAACAGGCAACAAAAGCAAAAATAAATGGTACTACAGTAAAATTTGTAAGTTCCTGCATAGCAAAGGAAACCATCAACAAAATCAAATAAAGGCATCCTATGAAATGGGAGAAAATATTTGTAAATCACATATGTAATAAGGAATTAATATCCAAAATATATAAGAAATTTATACAACTCAATAGCAGAAACAACAAATAACTCAATTTTAAAATGGAAAAGGACCTGAATAGACATTTTTTTCAAGGAAGACATGCAAATGCTCAACAAGTATATGAAAAGGTGGTCAACGTCACTAATCATCCGGAAAATGAAATTCAAAACCACAATGAGATGTTGCCTCATACCTCTTAGAATGGCTGTCATCAAAAAGTCAAAAGGTAACAGGTATTGGTGTGGATTTGGAGAAAAGGAAACCTTTGTGCACTGTTGGTGAGAAGGTCCATTGGGTTAGCCATTATGGAAAACAATGTGGAGATTCCTCAGAAAATTATAAATTGGATTACCATATGATCCAGCCAACACACTTCTGGGTATATATTCAGAGGAAAAGAAATCATTATTATGAAGTGATATTTACTCTCCCATGTTTTTATTAACCTTACTTATCCAAACAGAGACCTGAGCCTTCATCCATCCTGTGTGACTGTTGAGTTTTTCCCTCTACACATGGGCCCTGCCCTTTGTTTATCATTTCACCCAACCATCTGTCTTACAGCTTAGGCCACTGCTCCTTTTGTGGGCCAGTGCTCTCTCCTTTATCTTCCTGGAATAGGTTTCCTTAAGCTGCTGCTGCTCCACTGTACTGCTTCCCAAAGTGGGGCAGCAAGTCTTCTTTGGTTCTCTACAGCACAGGAGACCAAGCTTATTTACTTTAAATAAAACCTTATCACACTCTCCAGTGACCTCCATATTCCTAAGCATTGTGGTCATTCTGCAGTCATCATTTTGTTCACACTGATCACTTGAAAACATGAAAATTTGGTAATAATACAATGAAAGTCTACCACACTAAGTTAATTTACTGTAGCTAGACCCATAAGGAGTCACCAGTAACATGCCCATGTTACAAGTACCAGTTTATCTACATGTACCATCTAGCATACACATATGCACCCCCTTCAGTGGGATTCTCCTCTACCATGTCTCCCCTCCAAGCCTACTCATGAGTTTAAAGGAAAAAGGCCCTCCTCTCCTTATCCTAAATTCTGCCTCCTGGGCCACTGGGTATCCCAGAATCTCTGTCTCTTTCGAGAAGAATTTAGTAAATTCTCCCAGGGAAGCCACACACCTTGTCTCTGGGTCAGTTTGAACCTGTATCCTTAAGCAGAAAAATGGTTCAATATCAGTAATTTTCTCCCAAACTAGAACTGTTGAACCATTCATTATACTAAGTATGGACATCTGCAGCCATTCTAAGCTGCACCAAGCCCAATCAAGAACCTTTTATAAAATAGTAAGTTCATACATACCCAAATTTTCTTAGTCTTCAGATTCCCTGATAGTAAGATATTGACATACAGGAACAATCTCATGAATACGTGTATTTATTGCACGTACATACACACACACACACACACACACACACACACACACACCATTGACCTGTATGCTCGGAGAGGGTCTTCTTAACAATAAACAATAATATGCTATTGTAAAGCATAAACCCATATAAAGACTAAAAAAAAAAAGTTTTCTGCCCTAGACGTTGCTCTCCTCCACCCCAAAAACTCTCTGCAGAGAAAGAGAACTCTATTAAAACATATCTGATTTATGTGACTAAATGGAAGACACATCCTCTGGGCTTAAAGGGTCTGAATCCAGGTTGTTGCTTTGGACTCAAGAATAGAGATATTTACTTTCTTTATTATTCAGAACTCAAAGGCATATTGGGTTGTTTTCCCCAGATTAAAAAGGCTGCATCAAAATGGTACATTCCTCACTTTTACTTTTTGGTGTCCAAAAACTTTTAAAGGGCGTCCAATGCAGGAAAGCTCTTGCATATGATGGGTTGAATGTTTGAGTTAATACAGATTCCTCCTATATAAGCTAGGCTTCCTTTATCTATTAAGTAATAATAATGCTTTGATTCCAAAATCAAAATCATTGGTTTTCATGCCATATAATAAATTCTCACATCATCTCTGAATTGTGAAATGATAGCTGTCTCTAGAATGAAAATAGTGATATTTTTCTAACTGTCATTAGGAAAAATTGTAGAGACTCTGCATGTGATTTCTTAGAGTGGTCTATAATAAGTTAAATCTGATTAATTTCCCTTTAAATATGCAATGAACAAGATCGATCTCTCTTTTGTCTCTCTTCCTCTCTCTCTCTCTCTTTCTCTCTTCCTCTCTCTCTCTCTCTTTATCTATCTCTTTAAATTTCTGCTACATGGAACTAGTCTATGAGGGAAAAATTGTTCTCTCTCCATATTTCCCACTTGATCTCTCATAATCCCCTCACTGGGTCCCCACTGTTCTGTTTCCAGCCTTTCCACTAAGAAAATACACCTGCCCAGGTCTCTTGTTCTGGGACATTGCTGCATGACAAAGTAGATAATAAATTGATGCCATAGATAGAGGACAGTTAACTTGGACTGGCTACCCTTTGTCTTGTTATATGTTCTACTTGACAGGCCTTCATTCATCTAACTCAGAATTATTGACATAAGGGTTTGGTTTTTTGTTTTTTTTTTTTTAGCCAATCAGTGAGGCTTTTCTTTTACTCAGTCACTAGAGTATACAAAGCAGGCAATTCTGGATTCCGTGTCCAGTATTGAGTTGGTTCAGATGCACAAAGACAGCAGAGCCAATGCTGAAAGGTCAAACTGTTCTTAAAACATGGCTCTGATTCCTTCTTTCAGTGAGCTCTTCCTCCCCCTGCACTTCAGTTTTGTCATTTCTAATGTGCAGCCAATAATCTCATCACAGGTGGTTCTGAAGATTAAATGAGATCATGTAAAGCGGCACTTAGCACAGTGCCTGGTGCCCAAGAAGAGATGCGTTAAAAGTGCAGGATGGTTAGTGTTAGTCTGCTGCCACTTCCAGTTTAGCCAGAACCATTAGAGAGGACAGATGGGTGCAGTATAATGCCGGATACAATAGAGCTGGTGTCCATGAACGAACATTCCCCTGAGGGTAGCAGAACAATTGCTTTTTTGTAAGTTGAGTTAAACCACTCCCTAGCATGGCTAATGATGACTAATACAGCAGAAGGGAGTTGGTCACCCTCGTGCACCACACTGTTGGGAAGTTGACTGTGCTCTGCTTACAGAAATTCAGGTCACCGCCAAGCTCTCATCTATGTCACTCCTGCCATAGTTCTAATCTTAGAAGAAATTTACTCATTTGTGGAAGACATGTCAGCCTTTAACATATACTATATATTATTTTGGGGGAATTCCCAGCCAACCTCCTAAAGCAAAATACACTGTTATGAATAGTATACTAATAGCCTTTTAATGAGGCAGGTTGTAATGGTATATACAGTATTCGCATAGAGACATGATAGATAAATAATGGGAATATAACCTGGAAAACTCATGTTTTTATGGAAACAGAAAAATGGTTCTCTTGGACCACAATATTTGAATTCTTTCATTTTTGTACTGCTAATAGCATAGAAAGGCACGATATTTCAGCTAAGAGTATTAGAAAGGTATTGGCATTTAACATACATCTAACAATTTAAATGATTTCTTAGAAGGGACTGAAATACACTTCTTCATTTTGTATATACATCCTTTTTACATATTACTCCAGATAGGATTGCAAAAGCAATGATCATGCAAGAAACAAGACCTCTACTGAAAATGATATGCACCATTAAAATACAAAATAAAACACATGAGCCAACAAAGCTGAGATTAAAAAAAATAATAATAATAATATATTTTTTCCCTTATGTTTCATCTGTCTATACTCATTCCAACTTGGCCTGATTTGTTGATCCCAAACCTGGATATATTGCCAAAACCTTGTCAGGATCCTGAGAAGAGACAGGAGCCCCCAACTCAGTTTTTAGTTAGTTATTTCAGGGCTACTTCTGCTTCCCCTAAATTTCCCCTCTATGACCACTAAGGCCTTCTAAAGGATATTACCAAGAACTTGACAGTGAGGTCATGTGTCCTTTGTCACTACATGTCTGATTCTTGTTATAGATTCCCTGATACCTCAGTTTTCAAAGTGGTGGATCTGGAGCTGTGGCTTTTGTCTGTCTGTAGTGGGAAGTGCCCTCCTGCTTAGGTGGAAGGTAGATGCCATGCTAGAAGCACGGCACTCCCATGCTCCACGTCTTGCGTTATGGGTCACTCAGACATGCTCCCTGAGAAAGCTCTCGTGAACAGGGAAATCATCATAATTCCCTTATTCCTTATCTCTGGAGAGAGAGGAGGGCCAGTCCCTTTCAGAGTCCCCACTGCCTTCCAAGTGTGTCTCTGCTTTTGAAGTGTCAACAAGCTCCAACTGAACTCATAATCTCCCTTCTACCTTTAGCCACATCTCGTTCCCATTTGGGTGCT